ACACCTTCCCAGAATAGTATTTTTAACTAATTGAAGGAAATGGTAAATTTTAGTTAACAGATAGATGAAATAAAGCTGTAATTTTTTCTCAACTTCATAGCATGAAACATCCTCTGAAATATACCAACAGACCCCCTTCTAGAGGTCCATGTATCCCAAGAACCCCTCCTGGAAGGGAAAAGTATACCTAACAAAGAAAGATATGGGATGCCTTGTTTCACCCTCATTGGAGGTCTTTGAGCATTAAGTCACAGTTAATTGCAGAGGTCACATTAGATATAGTTGTGGCATGATTCTCAATTTTATAAATTGGAGGCCAGAAGTGACCTCAGAGGTCCATTCCAACACCATTTTACAGATAAGGAAAGTAAGGCAAGAAACGTTTAGTGATTTGCCCAAAGTTATACAAGTAGAAAATATCACAGCCAGAATCTGACCTGAGGTCCTCTGGCTGCAAAACCAGCACTCGTCCACTATACAACACTACCTCATCTGAGGCAGTGGGTTTTACTAACAGTTCTTTTCTTGGATTTTTGTATACTGTGGATTTCTCACCATCTCTACTCTTCCATTTTATCTTCCGGGGTTTCTACAATAGTGGATATATTTGGGCAATTTTCCCCCCTACCTCCTTCTTTTTGGTTTAAAAAAATATTCTCTTAAATTTTTAAGACTCTGGGAAAATGTATTTTTATCAACCCTTGCCAGGTCTATTCCATCATAATGAAGAACCTATCATTCTTCTATTTTAAGTTGTAGTCCAGAAATCCAATTCCTGTTTTCAGATACCATCTTTTTACCCAGCTACCTGGTTAAATCTGCCCCCTCATCCAATGTTTCCAGAAATAGCTCAAGCTCAACATGTCTAAAACTGAACTCGATATCTTTCCCCCTAAACTATGCCCCACCTCCAAACCTCCCTAGTTTTGTTAAAGCCAATCCTTTCAGTATCTTGGGTTTGTAATATGGATGTTATCCTTGATTCTTCCCTTTCCCTTACACTATATATTCAAACAGTTGACACATATTGCCAACATCTCTCACATCCACCCCTTCACCATTTGTTCAGATCCTCATCAACTCTTTATTTTTTATTTTTTGGTTTTGGGGGTTTTTTTAGCTTTTTTTGGTGAGGCAATCAGGGTTAAGTGACTTGCCCAGGGTCACACAGCTAGTAAGTGTTAAGTGTGTGAGGCCACATTTGAACTCAGGTCCTCCTGACTCCAAGGCTGGAGCTCTATCCACTGTGCCATCCAGCTGCCCCTCCTCACCAGCTCTTGCCTAGATTATTGCAATAGCTTCCTAATTGGCCTCCCAGTTTTAAATCTCTCACTACTGCAGTACATTCTAAACACTGATGCCAAAGTAATTTTTTTTAAGTGTAGAGCTGATCACATGACTCCCTTACTCAACCAATTCCAGTGGCTTCTATTATTTTTAGAATTAAACAAACTTTTCTATGTAGCTTTTAAAGCCTTTTATAACCTGGCCTCAACCTATTTTTCCAGAGTCAGTGGACATTAATTATACTTCCACACTGTGATTCAGCCAAAATGATTAGCAACTTCAAAATCATTCTCTACTCTTAACAATCCCTCACTTTCCATAAGCCAATCAGCTGCCCAGTTCTATTAATTCTACCTTCACGTCTTTCATGTCCCTATCCTCTCCACTCACAAGACTACTTGAGCCCCCATCATTGCTCACCTACACAATCTCAGTAACCTCCTAATTGATCATCCTGTCACTAGTTTCACACCTTATTTCAAACCATCCTCCACACAGTTGCCAAACTAATGCTACTAAAGCACAAGTCAGACCATGTCCCTTCCCCACTTAAAAAACTTCAGTAGCTTCCTACTGCCTCTAGTATAAAATGAAAATAATAGCACCTACCTTACATAATTGTCATGAGAATCAAATGAGTTAACATATGTAAAACTGTTTGCAAACTTTAAATGGCTAGACAGAAGCTAGCCATTATTATTATTATTATTATATACATACTTTACACTATAAAGAACTGTGTTTTTTGGGACTCTTTAGTACAAGGCGATGGTGGGGGGTCCCCACCCCGCCCTGGTCCTGGGTTGACAATACTGGATGCTCCCCAGAGTAGAGACCTTTCTAGAATTGAGGATGTGGACAAATACAACAAATGCATCCCAGTTGATATGCAGAGGCACTGTATCGGTCTATTACTAGAAAAAAGCTTCTGCTCTCACTCCTTCTAACTATAACTCTCTTTTTCTCTGAAACTTTCAGTGAAGGGTAAGAGGGTTTGCCCCAAAGTATGGGAAGGGGCAGCAGGAGTGACCCTGGCAATCTTGTCCCTGGCACAGAAGCACAAAAGGGCAACTGTCAGGATCCAGAAGGGGCAGCATCAGGCAAAGAAACTCCCACAGCAACACCCTCTCTATGGCATAAAGCAACATTATTAGAGTCAAGGAGTAGCAGAGCTCAGCCAGTACGGGGGCAGCCCCAGCACAGTGACAGTGCTCAGACACCACTGCGGGGAGGGAAGGAGGAATTGCTAGACCCTGGCACAGGATAGCCTGTGCCTGGCCCTGGCAGCATGGGCAATATGTGGCTCCAGCAGAATGAGGGGAAAAGACAGCAGTAGTAGGTAGTATTATATAGGCCCAGCAGAGAGAGGTAACAGAGTAGACAACAATGCTGGCCCCAGTGGAAGCAGACTCAGCAGTGACAGATCTCAGTGGCAGCAGAGTGGACACCAGCATAAGCAGCAACAAAGGCAGACCCAGAATAAGCGTTTGCTTACTGTAATTTGCAGATAAGGAGGTCCCTTCATAATGCTGTCAGTAGTCACTGGATAAATACTTTCTAGGGAGAGTGTGGAGGACCACAGGTGGTGCTGCTGGGAAGTGGCTTGCATTCCAGCAACTAAGGGAGGTGAAACTATCTATTTAACCTCCATGGAAAAAGGTGACCAGTATCTCAGCAGAAGCCTGAAGGATCAAAGATTTGGCATTCCTCCTCTTCTCCCCATATAATGGGTCTCCCAAGGAGAGGCAGATCTTGGCTGGTGGGCCAGGGAACATTGAGGGCACAGTCATAGTGGGCAATTCTCTGTATTAAGTCTAGCACCAGGACAAGACTCACATAAGAAGGTAATGACTTCTTGACTACTTTACCACAGATCATCCTGACCCATGCTGAGAATGAGTAATCTCACCAGAAATATCATATCTGTGCTGTGGTCCTGCTGCTTCTGTTGCTCATCACCACCTGACACTTTAGACTTCAAAGATGCATCTCACACCACATGGACTTGACTGTTCAAATTTGAGACTCAGTTCTTACAAAGGAGAGAGATAAGGCCTGGGAATTTTGGTTACTGCTCTCCTTCATATTCTATTGTTTATTTTGGGAGGAAGGTGGGGAGGGGGACATGGAAGACTGCATTATTTTTGTTTTAGTTTTTCTCTTCTTCCTCCCAAACCTATGTCAGGCTTCTTGCATCCCCCCCAGATGAGGGTCGTCTAGTAATGATCCTAAGGGCATTTAAGTGGTGGAAAATCTACTAGAAGACCTTTAGGGCCTTGCCACCAAAGGGTGGGATATAATAGGTGCAATATCCTAAGGCCATTATTCCCTCCTCTCCCTATGGCCTAAGCCAGTTTTTCTTTGGACGATATTAAAACTGTTCTAGGTACTTAATTGGTCCTACAGACTAAGCTCAAACAACTGATGTCATTTTCTGATTACGTAAGTACAAAACTGCCAGGCTTTTGAAACGAATACCAACGTGGCCAACATCAGAAGGGATGCAATGCCCAAATGACCAATGTAGCATACTTGCTAAATATACTTTTCCTGCTCTATCTACAAGGGTCTCATTTCATTTCAATTCTGAACCTGAAGCACCAATCCTGGCCCACAACATAAGAATAGTTGGGAAATAGGTACTCTAAAACATTATTTATAGGACCGCACTGGTACAAACACTTTTTTAAAAGTAACACGGAACTATGTAACAACTGTCACTTTGTAATATGCAGTGGGTACAGAGCCAGACTTAGATCCCAGACCACAGATCTGGTGCCAGAAGGGCCTTCAGAGGCCGTCTCGTCCAACCACCCTCGTGCCAGCACCTAACAGTGTGTCTGGCAAATACTAAGCGCTGAGGAAATGTCTACTGAATTGAATTTTACAGATGAGGAAACTGGGGTCCAGAAAGTTAAGTGACTTTCCCAAGGTTACACAGGTAGCGTCAGAGAGACGAATTTGAATATAAATACTGTAAAAGCAGAGCCCATCTTGCCTCTGAAACTTACTAGCAGAATGACCCTGGGCAAGTCACTTAACCTGTTTCCTGGTCTTCGAAATGGGCCAGTTGGCCTCTGCGCTGGATGTACGATCCTAGAGGAGCCACAATCATTCATTTACCCGGGCAGAAGAGATATACTTCCACAGGACGATGGCATAGATGGTGACTGGAAGGCTCTCCACTCCATACCCGCGGGACCCAGGGCGCCCCCGGCCCCAGCTTCCCGCGACCCCCGGCCTTCACACCGCCCCGCCTCCGGCCCCGGCCCGGCCCCGGCCTCAGCTCGAGCTCACGTTGCGCAGCTTCTCCAGAACTATCCCGTGGTAAAGCTGAGCGGTGGCGCTGGGTCCGTCCACGACTCCGAAGGCCAGCCCGAAGCTCCCTCCGGTAGCCATGGTCCCGAGCTACGCCAGCAACGGCAGCAACCGCAACGACCTCCACTCGGGACTGCTGGCCCAGATCCGAGGGCTGGCACCTAGGCAACGGAGTACCACCACTGGCCGAGCCGGCGGGGGGGGGAGGCGACATCGGTTCCCCCAGTCAAAAACTCGAACCCTTCCCATTACTGCGCCCAGCTTACCTTGCTGGCCATTCCAAGTCTAAACTAACGAACCTTCGCTGTCGGAGTCCGGAGCCATTTCCGCAATCCACATTTAATTCACGCTCCGCCCCACCACCACCCCTGTTTTTGGTTTCGACCAAATAGCTAGGGACACTGCGCGGAACATGGGGAGGGGCCGAGAGCTGAAGGTTAGTCTCCTGCTTTCTACCTAAAAAGAGCCGGAAGATTGCAGTGAGAAAAGCACCTTTAACTCTACGGGTAAGGTGTAAACGGCGAAGGGATCATAGATTTTGCCCAAGCCCTCCTACTCTTTCAATTGGCCACTTAGCTCTTTGAAGATGGGAGAAGAAAATAGGAGTGGGGGGTGGAGGGGGCGGAGCATAATTTGGTTGATTCTGCTTTAAGGAGAAAGCGCCTGGAGGTTGCCGCAGCCGGGTGTTGCCCCGCCCACAGTGGCGTAGGGACTACAACCCCCACAATTCATCCGACCTCGGGAAAGGCTCTGGTGGCGCAGGCGTAGATGTGAGCTGCTCCTTCCGCTTAGAGCCGTCAGACTCGGACTGGGCTGGCTGCATTAAGCAGAGTAGCAACTTCTCCCAGCACACCTGGATAGCCCTCCCACCGCCACCTGCTGTGTATCCGCTCTTAACCCCTACCACGACCGCACCGTACCCCTCCCTTCTTCTCTCTGGCGACTTAGGGGACCAATCCAGTGAACGAGACTCCTACGTAAAACAATCAACCAACAAACATTTATGAGAGCCAGTTATGTGCCAGGAACTGGCAATGGTAGGAAGCAAAAAGTGAAACATGTTTTTATTGGTTAGAATGAAGAAATTAAATGGTTAGAATGCCAAGCGTGCCAGGCCTTTGGACTCTTGGCAGGAAGTTAAGGTAACTTTGGCCAGGACAAAGTTTAACCTCTCACCATAAAAGAAAGCAAAAGCCGAGAGGTCAAGTCAAACAATACACAGGACTTGCAAGAGCCCGAGTTACCTGGCTAATTTAAAAATGTTTTTGTTGTGGGAAACTGAGTTATCTAGGAATCACCAAAGTGCTTGGCCAACGTTAAAAGTTGAGTACAAGATGTACTCTTTGAGAAGGAAAAGATAAAAGAAACAATGAGGCCAAAGATAAATGATTTTTAAACTCAATTTTTGTACCTACATTTAAGTTTCTTGAATAAATTACTCTAGGTGGAATTTGATTATTAAGATTTATAGTTGTATTCTTTTAAGAATATTCATATTGATACTTAATCATTTACTGTTCTCATAGTTACTGAAATGAGAGCTCTCCCTTAAGGGCCCCTAAAACTTGAAAGGTCTGTTTCATTCAATAAGCATCTACGAAGTTTTAGCCAGCATTTATTAAATTCAAGACCCTAAGTTTTGGGTAAGAGGTGGCCTACCAATGCTGAAAAAAATGCATTGTTTCTAAGAGTCCACAATTGGAGATGTATCTATCAGGTTTAGGTAGAATTGTCTTGTTAATAGTATCCCATGTTCATCCTGGTTTCTTTCTTTCTTAATTCTTCATCCAGGTTGTACCTGCTAACACTGGATGTCCCCCAAGGCTCTGTCCTGGGTTCTCTTCTCTTTTGCCTTGGTACTATTTTTTGATGATCTCATGGTCTCACAGATTCAATTATCATGTCTATCATAATTGATTCTCAGATTTATTTATTCAGTCCTAACCTCTCTTCTGATCCAGCTGCCTACTGGACATTTCAAAAGGAATGTCATTTTAAACTCAACATACCTCAAAGCAAACGAATTATCTTTCCCCTCTATGCCTTCTCCCCTTCCAAAATTCCCTATTACTGTTGACGGTAGCACTTTCCTGCTATTCATCCAATCAAAACCTGGGTGTCATCCTCCATTCCTCATTCTCTCTTACCTGTCCACCCCCATATCCAATCTGTTGCCAAGTCTTGTTGATTCTACCTTTGCAATATCACACACACACACACACACACATCCCTTTCCTCTAACAGTGTCACCATCATCTTGGTGGTACTCAACATCTCACACCTGGACTATAGCAATAGCCTTCGAAGTTGATGTCTCTCCCTCCTCTGGCCAATTCTCTCTCCCTCCCTCCCTTCCTTCCCTCTCTCCTCTCCCTTCTCTCTTTCCTCTCCCTTCTCTCTTTCCTCTCCCTCTGTCCACCCTTACCTGTGGGTGCTCTTCCCAAAGGAATATAAGTTTTGATAGCTAAAACCTCAGAAAAATATCTTGCAGTTTATGGGCTAGATTTTTTTCTTAAGGACTATGCCTTAAACCCAAATCACTCTGGCTTTTATTGATTGGCCAACAGTAGGCCCTAGCCTCACTTGGTCATTGCTTGGGTTCTTATGGCTCAGAGTGAATATAAATAGCAATTGTTTCTGTTTTGGCCAGAAACCCTGAAGTATTCCCCTCCCAGATCAGTTTTTTTTTGTTGTTGTTGCTGCTGTTGTTGTTTTTGTTTTGTTTTGTTTTTTGTTTTTTGATTAGTTAAAAGAAGCCATTCTTGGCCTCATTTCTTACCTAGCCTTAATCACTAAATGGGCGTTGCCTATATCAAATTGAGACCTGGGAAGGACCTTGGCTTAAAAAGGCCAAGGTCTCCCACTGCATCCAGGGCCGTCTTCAGTTGTCCTGATCTATATATCTTGCCACTGGACCCAGATGGCTCTGGAGGAGAGAGTGAGGCTGGTGACTTTCCTCAGCCCCCCCTCACTTAAATCCAATTCACTTGCAAGGCAGGACATCACCATCCCAATGCCATTGCTCCTCTTTAAGAAAGAAGGACAAACAAGTCCATCCTCCACTCAGCTATCAAAGTTATCTTCCTATAAGCAGAGATCTAACCTTGTCAATAACAGTGGCTCCCTACTCAATTAGTAGCCTTAGTTTGGTTTTTAAAGCCCTTCACAATCTGCAAGATCTTTCCAGTTTTCTTTTACCTTAATCTTCATGCACTTATTCAGTGATCCAGTGACACATACAAAACACTCCCATCTCCTGACTGTGTATTTTCTCTAGCTGCCCCTCATCCCTGGAATTCTCTCTCTTTTTACCCTTACCTCCTGGATTTCTTGGCTTCCTTCAAGTCTCAATTAAAAAGGCTTCTGCAAGAAGCTTTTCCTGGTTTTCCCCCTGCATCCCCCCATGCCACTGCCTTCCCTCAGGGATTACCCACATTTGTCCTGTCTATATCTTGTTTGTAAATAGTTTTTTGTAGGTTTTCTCTCCAGTATTAGACAGTGAGCTTTTTAAAGGCAGAAACTTTTTCCCTCTCTTTGTATCTCCATTACTTAGCACAGTGCCAGACACATAACAAATACTTAATGCTTGTTGGCTCTTAAACAACTCCTCTCCAACACTTAAAAAATGGTTTTAATGAACCTTACCAACCTACTTTCAGACTACTTGCCTGTGTCATTAATGTCATCTCTGCAAATGTCTTCTCCCATGACAACTAACATATATTTCCCAAATGCCCTAGACTAACCCAAAAGATTTATAGAATCTCAGATCTCACAAAATGTTTCCCAAAATAAACTCAGTCTAGTTTAAGAACATAGGGTCTATGACCTGGGAGGGGCTCCTGTCCAACCTCCTCATTTTACAGATGAACAAACAAGCCAGAGAAATCAAGTTACTTGCCCAAGGTCACGAAGGTAAGAGATGAGTAGTAAAGCTGGGCTTTGAACCCAGATCCCTTCATTTTAATTCCAGCACTCTGCACAAAGCAATGGGTTGTTTTTTGTTTGTTTGTTTGTTTCAGTTTTTTTTCCAAAAGAATATTAAAATTGTTTCCTTAGTTTAATAAAAGTGAGGCCTATGTTTTCCCGAATTCACACTGAAATCTTGCAGTCTAACACATAAGACTGTGAAATATAATCACTTGTTTCAAATATAAGTAGCAATTGAGTAACAATTCTCCTTTCATAATAGATAATTGTACAAAACACCGTGCATTAAAATTTAAGTTGTGAAATCAGCTTATGAAAAAGTCACAGAAAGAAAAAAGAACAATATATAAAGCAAACTGGCTAATTCTAATCCATCCTTTCTTCATAACATTAAAACTTAAGGTTGTCTATAACTTGAGAAGATTCCAGAACAATTTGCACATATGTTGGTGCTTTCAGTTGCAGGGTAATTCTGCCAAGATGGGCTATTTTCAGGGGCCTCCTCAGTCATTTGAATCTCTTAAGGTCTTGTTTAAACCCAACACAAACAGGTTCTGTTACCCTAAGACAGCTCATTTATCTCAATAACTTGCAACCTAACTACTTTTCAACATGAATAGTTGTAATATAGATTAGAAAAGAAAAAAAAGAAGTCTAAAATCTACCCAGGGACACGTGCATGGCAAAACTGACATATTATTGCCACATAACAAGAGCTAAGTGGTCGGATACCGAACCAAGCCTCTCTTTTCAGTTTACTTACCTCTTCTGCTAAATCCTCCATATGCATTTTGAAAAGATTCTAGCATATCCCAGGAGTCTGCTGTAGTTCTAGTGAGCACTAATAAGCCTAATATTTCTTTCAGAAGTTCCCTGAGTCAGAGACATCCTGTACACTTGTATCTAAAAAGGAGAGAGATCCTGTTTTGACACTTGTGTGGTAAAGGGGTGCCACAGGTAGAGTCACGACTACCAACCCAACATCTGATTTCATGGTCAGCTTTTCTCCTTAAACTGAAATTTTTTTTAAACACATGTGTATTTAAAAACTTAACCTTCTTTCTATTTTTAAACTAAAGAACAGAAAATGTTAAGTTTTCTCATATTGTGGCCATTAATTTGTGAATGCTTAAAGTTATGTTAATTCTTTTTTAATTCTTAAAGTTATGTTAATTCTTTTTTAATTCTTGCTATAGGATGATTTTTTTCCTTCACCTCCTATACCTCTACTTCTTAATCAAATGAAGTCTATTATTTTTCTGTTACTAAGTGCATTTCATTTTTTTCTTCATTCCAAATTAGAAAGCATTATTTTTTGCTATTTAAATTTAAGCATCAAACTCCTTAGGCAGTTTATAAAATGTTTGCAATATGCATTTCTTTTGACAAAGTCTTAGGGTTAGAAGAAAATGAAACACAGAAGACATTTAATTAATTTTTGCCGAATTGAATGCACTCAATAGGTTTGTCACTTCAGGGTCGAGAATTTCAAAAATTCCATCTTTTTATAAATGACGAGACTGAGTCACATAGAAAATTAAGAGATTTGTCCATAGTCACAGACAGTAAACATTGAAACCAGGATTTAAGCTTAGGTCAAGTCAATGAGTTAACAAGCATCTATTAAGTGCCTACTATGTGCTAGACACTACGCTAAGCTCTAGTCTCTTGATTGTGGTTCCAACATGCTTTCCACTAGACCAGCAGTTTTCAAAGTGTATTCTGGGGCTCCCTGGGGTGCCCAAGATCCTTTCAAGGGGTCCACAAGGTCAAAACTATTTTCATAATAATGACAAAGGCTTATTTGCCTATTAAAATATTTTAATCTTTTCCAACCACATATCTGGTGAGACCAGATTTTCTCCATATTCTTCAGTCAAAACAACTTATCACAACAGATTGAATGCAGAAGATATGAGAATCTAGCTGTCTTCTATTTAGCCAGACATTAAAGAGATTTACAAAAATACATAAAACAATGCTGTTCTCACATTTCTTTGTTTTGGAAAATATAGTTATTTTTCTTTAAAAATGTTAACGTTCTATGGTTTTATTATTGTTATTTTAAAACTAATTAATAAATATTTTAAATTGTATTAGTTTTAATTTCTAACATAAGAAATATCAATAGATATAATCCTCATAAACAAAAGCTCTTTGAGACCTTAATTTTTAAAAGTGTCAAGGGATCTTGTGACCAAAAAGCTTGAGAACAACTGCACTAGACTAACCTGCTTCTGGTATCATACTGAAAGCTTAGTTAGTAATTAATGGACACTCTGACCTGCCTCAAGTGGGGCCCCATCACAAATCTCTTAAACACAAGTCATATTTAACTAATTGAGCTACATAATGGTTGCAAGAACTATCCTTGGAAGAAAACCAAACAATTGCTGAGCTACCTGTTCTTTCTCAGAATTCTGATGATGTAACAGTTCTCAGAATTTATTTAATCTAGAGTTACTGGTTGAACCAGATCTGGGCAATTTCCACTCTTTGCTGAATACATAAATGCAGCATTCAAGTTAAAATGCAAAGAAGAATGTTTTAAAATTTATAGATATTCTTTGAACTATAAAGTGACTAAAAAGTAATATAGAAGCCTGCTTATTTTAATTACTTATCTCTTGAAAATGATCTTTTTTCAGGAGGTTTGAATCAAGGATGAACATATTCCCTCCTTGCCCCATTCTTTCCTTCTAAAACTCCTAGTTATACCTTCCTATGTCCAGGAAGATGTGTGAAGATATTGAAGCCATCCTAATCTAAGTGATCTTCAGGTAATCCTTCAATTCATATTATTAACTGTCTCTGCTTATCTTTCCAAAATGTCCAAATGTAGACATTCTGGATATATCTGAACTTAACAAATATTATGTCCACATGCATATATATTTTTTGTTCATGAATATATTTATACATATATATTTATATGTATGCATATGTATACACATACACACACACACACACACACACACACACACACACATGAAATTTCAGCCCTTTAAGGAGTCTTTTCCACCAACTGGCCAACTGTTTGTTGTTGTTGTTTATTTTTTAAAAATAAAAGCTTACAGAAATCTTGACTAATAAACAAAGAAAGTAGTTTTTATTCTACAACAGTAATCCCAAATGCCCAATTCTTTCACACAATAAAACTAAAGTTCTGTACAAGGCCTAACAGAATTACCAGAGAATTAAAGCAATTAGTACCTGGAATATTTGGGCAAAAAAATTTCACACATCAATTATATGGAAAAATTGCACATGCAAAGCTTATGCTTTGCATAAGCAGCCTTGATTGGAAGCTCAATAATGACAAAAATATATTAGTTATTAGAGCAGGGATTATCTTATTTTCCTATTTGTGTCCCCAGTGCTTTGCATATAGTAAGAACCTAATAAATGCTTTATTCATTCATCTATCCATTCATTAAGGAACACAAAACTTTAAATACTTAATATCCAAACAAAATGTTTCAAATCTAGGATCTACATATTATTTTCTTTTTTAGGTTAAGAAATGGTGATACAAGATGATGAATGTGGAAATATGTTTTATATGATTGCACATGTATAATCTATATCAGATTGCTTGCTGTCTTGGAGAGGAGGAGGGAGAGGGAAGGAGGCAGAAAAAAATTTGGAACTCAAAATCAAAAAATGAATGTTGAAAATTGTTTTTACATGTAATTGGAAAAAAATACTATTAAATAAAAAGATAAAAATGGTGATAGCTTCTTTATCATCAAAGTACTGCACTAATTTGGACATATTAAAAATAATATTTCACATTCAATATATAACATCACTGCACCTAACATTACTAGCCAATAATAGCATTAATAAATTATAATGCCTACAACAACTTGAGAAATCCCTAAGTAACTGCCCCCCATAATATGAATGATAAAGGTAACTCAATCAGCTAGTGTGTTCTTCCACTAAATGGCCCTAGGAAGCTATACTTTTAGAATTTTTATGGTTGCACATCATCAGACAGGCTGATAATTTTTTGGCCAGCACACCTTATGAAACTACCTAATGATGTGAAATGGGGTTTCAATCTGCATTGCTTGAAGAAATGCTCCCACCATCAAAACTGAGGACCACTTGACATATTTCAGTACGTCCACTCTGTTTGTAGTTGATCTGTCTTCTCTTTTGTTGTCAAGATATCATTGGTTATTTCTTTTGCTATGTGGATGCCTTTCAATAGCAACCCACCCTTCCCTCTCCAACTATTTGCTTCTAATCTACTGTAGGCTAGGGAAACAGACTGTTAAGCTTGTTAAAATTATGTCCAAAATGAGAATAAAGAGACCAAGAAAATATCTTGTGAACTTCTTCACCTGTTGCACTGGGAATACCATACAGATAGTCCTAGCACTACTGCAATGAATTACTTACTGCTGGTTTTGTACCTTAAGGTATCTTCAAGTTCACTGTGCTGCAGTAGATCCTGCACCCCTTTATAGTATACGCCTGGGCCCAGGCTTAAATGTTGCTCTATCCATCTCCTAATGAATTTCCTCATTGTAGGTAGATTCCATTCCCTTATGAATAAATGAATGAATGAATGAATAAACTATTTATTAAGCGCTTACTATGTGCAAAGCATTGTGCTGAACTCTAGAAATCCAAATATAAAAGTCAGTCCCTGTTCTGAAGAAATTCACATTCTAATGGGGAGGGGGGGGACACAACAGGAATGAAAGGTTCCAGCTACTGCAAGTCATATGGAAAGGGTTTCCACCTACCAAGAAAGACATAATCTCTGGATTCAGCCCTCCATCCCAATCCAGACAGAGATTCCTCTCAAACTATAGCAGTCCTCAATACTCAGGAAAACTACCAACATGCAATTTACTCTTTGCCCAAGTCTTGAACTGGATACTATCCAGATGAGTCTGACACCAACTGTTTATCTGAAGATGCCTTTTTGGAGCTCATTTCCTTAATTCTCCATTGCTCCTGCTTTCCAAGTCATCAGAGAGTCTGATTAATTCCTCTATGAGAAGCAGAGAGCCTCACATTTCCAATTTGTTAACAGTCTCCAATAAGTGCCAAAGGGTTTGGTCACATTATTCCTTTACGCCTTTTGGCTTTTCGTTCTTCTCAACCATATATCCCCAAGTGAAACTGTAGAAATTTATTTGAAATTGCTTTACAATGATGGCATGCCATTCATCGTGGCATAGCTAATGTGAAACCCGCTTGAGCCCCTCATTGCTCAAAGAAGGCCAAAAACCTGTACTAGCCAATCAAGAGGACAATTTGAGCCCTTCTGGACTGACATATCAATAATCCTTTGCAATGCTCTCTCAGTAGTGAACCCAAAATCCTCCTGCTGTATCAACCACCACAAGATCAGATTAAATTTGCACAAACATGCTGAGTCAGGGGTACTTCCTTGCTTTATGGAAACTGTAATCTTGGCTGACAAAAGGCCAGACATCCTGAATCAGGGGCATTTGTCTCATGGCTTTATAATCTGTGCAGCCTAACCCCAAAGTGAGCTCAGTTCCGACTGCAGCTCCACATGTATGCCTGCCAGCTTGAGAGAAATAAACATGCATACAACCTAATTCTGTTTGTCTTTCTTAGCTCTAACTCTGGAGGTTGACACTAAACAAATTTGTTTCAGAGAAGTATACAAAGACTTATATGGACTAATGCAGAATGAAGTAAACAGAACTAAGTAAATAATATACACAATGACCATAATACACCATAATATAAATGAAATAATATACCATAATATAAGTGGAAATAACACCTCTTTCCCCCCCCCCAAAAAAAAGGAAGGAAGGAAAAAAATAAAGGCAGAAAGAAAAAAGGAAGGGAAAGAGGAAGGGAAGAAAGAAGGATAAGAAACTGGACACTTTAATCAGAATAACTAAGCTTGGCCCCAAAGAAGGGGAAATGCTTTTCCCCTTCTTTGCAGAGGTGAGGATTATGTATAAAGAAAATTACATATACTGTCAGGTTCAGTCAATGAGTTGCTTAGTTTTGCTGAATTGCTTTTTTTTTCCCTTTGTTATAAGAGAAGGTTCACTAGGTAGAAGAAGTGGAAAGATATATTCAGAAATGAGGGTGAACCAGAAACAAAAGATATCAATAAACATTGAAATTCTTTTAAAAAACCATTATGGCATCAACCCTCAAAAGTCTTCAAACTATATTCAGTATCCTATGGTATGTTTGATGGCTGCTGTCTAGCAATTTGGCTTCAATCCTTGGCATCATTTGGAGATGATTGAGAAGAGAAATGTGAGCAAACCTGGAAAAATGGTAATGGTGTAAGGTCACTTGCCTCACCTGTACACTGGCATACAATTTAGCAGATCCGTGAAAATATTTTGTGCTGTATGATGATGCCAGGTATAACATAACTTTTTAAAATGATGTCCTGGTTATTAATATCAAGCTAAGCATAAAACTTGCTCATTAAAGTCATTTGCCACAGTCACAGAGAAGGTTTTGTAAAGATGCAAGACACATCCTTTGAAGAATTATCAAAGGGCAATGGAAATAGGCATGAAAGGAATGAGTAAACTGCAACACATTACAAATGAGGAAATGCACAGAAGTGGAGGAAAGGATGTCATCACAGAAATGTATGACTGCTCAAAAAACCTTTGATATATAAGTAACACTTGTTTATATTCATTAAAAATACTAAAAAGCACAGAGATAAAATAACATTTCCTTACCATGATAAGATGTTCTGATCTAAAGCCAAAAGCTATCAAAGAGAAACATCCATAACTTTCCCAATAAGATAAAGTATTGAGAAATTTGTAGGAAATTTCTAGGAATAGACCTTTTATAAGATGGTTTGTGAACATATAGAAAAGGAAGTGCTGATTGCAAAGAGTCAATATGGCTTCATCAAAAACAGGCCATGACAAATTAACCTTATTTCCTTTTTGGACAAGATTATTAAACTGGTAAATTACCAAATTCTGTATCTGTCTAGATTTTAGCAAAGTATTTATTAAAATATCTAATGTTTTCCTTGTGGAAAACAGTGAGATGTAGACTAGATATAATCCAATGACACAGATCTGGAATTGGTTCAAAAAATAATCATTAATGGTTCAAGGTCAATATAACAGGAAGTCTCTAGTGAAAGACCCAGGAATCTCTGCTGGGTCCTATGCTGTGTAAATATCTTTATCAGTGATTTGGATAAAAGCATAGATGGCATGCTTGTGCAAATGGCACTAAGCTGGGAGGGATAATGAATGAATACAGTCATAGAAACAGGATCCAAAAATATCCTGACAGGCTTTGGCATTGGATTTAATCTAATAAGATGAAATTCAGTAGGGGAAAATGTAAAGTTTTACATTGGAGTTCAATTTGACAAGTATTTAATTGAGGAGGTGTGGTTAGACAGCAATTTGTCTAAAAAAAGATCTGGGGATTTTAGTAGATTACAAATTCAATATGGAAGAGTAATAAGATGTGGCAGCCAAAAAAACTAATGCAATCTTAAGCCACATTATTTCCAGAAATAAGAAGGTGATAGTTCCTCTGTATTTTGACTTGATCAGACTACAAATAGATAACTGTATTCAATTCTAGGTAGGATAGTTGTCAAAAGATGTTACAGAAAAGGACAACCATGTTGATGAAGGTCCTTGACTTGAGAGCATATGCGATGAGTTGAAAAAACTAGATATGTTTAGTCTGGAGAAAAGAAGATTCAGGAAAGACATGATAACTGTCCTTTACCATTTGAAGGACTGTCATATGGAAGAGAGATTATCATGTTTGGCCCCAGATGGCAGAACCAGGAACAATGGATGGAAGTTTCAAAGAGGCAAATTTCGGCTTGATGTCAGGAAAAAAATCCCTAATAATTGTTGTGGTTCAGTCACATCTAACTCTTTGTGTTTTCTTGGCAAAAATACTGGAGTGGTTTGTCATTTCCTTCTCCAGATCATTTTATAGATGAGCAACTAAGACAAATAGGATTAAGGGACTTGCCCAGGGTCACATAGCTAGTGTCTGAGGCAAGATTTAAACTCAGGAAAATGAGTCTTCCTGACTTCAAGCCCAGCACTCTATTCACTGTACCACCTAATAATTAGAGCTGCCCAAGTATAGAATGATCTGCTTTTGGGAGGTGATGGGTTTGCCTTCATTGAAGGTGTTCAGGAACAGGCTGAATGACCATTTGTCATTTATGCTATTGTGAGAGTTCCTTTTGGGTATGGGTTAGATTGAAGCCCTTTCCAACTCTAACATTCTATGATTCTGTGATTATGAACTTAAAACGATGAAGTTTCATCTCACATCATGAACACTGATGGAAAAAAAAGATGGGAATAATTAATGATGGAGGAGTTATGAGAAGACAGGCTCTCTTGGTAGAACTGTGAAGTGATCCATTTTGGATTTCAATTTGTAATTATGCAAGTATCAACTAAGCTGTCCATACACCTTGACCCAGCAATCCCAGTATAATAGCATGAGTCATTCTACTAGACTGGTGTGAGCAGGTCACTCAGTTGCAGACTTGGCTCCTCAGCAGACGCTGCTGCAGACTTCTTTGTTGTCTTATTTTAAGAAATTGCCACAGC